CCCGCCCCCCCTTCGGGGTCCCCCCCCCCGGTCGCCCCCCCTAGAGTTGGGGACCAAGGAGGACCCGGTGGCCACTGATGTCACCAACCCCCTGGTCCATGTTCCTTCTCCTCGTTTCCTTCCCTCCCTGTGTCCCTCCACCCACTTTTGGGGGGCACCAAACTTGGGGGGCACCCAGCACCCACTTCGGGGTGCCCCCCCCCGATGTCCCCCCCTAGAGTTGGGGACCAAGGAGGACCCGGTGGCCACTGATGTCACCAACCCCCTGGTCCATGTTCCTTCTCCTCGTTTCCTTCCCTCCCTGTGTCCCTCCACCCACTTTTGGGGGGCACCAAACTTGGGGGGCACCCAGCACCCACTTCGGGGTGCCCCCCCCCGATGTCCCCCCCTAGAGTTGGGGACCAAGGAGGACCCGGTGGCCACTGATGTCACCAACCCCCTGGTCCACGTTCCTCCTCCTTATTTCCTTCCCTCCCCATCTCCCTCCACCCGTTTTTGGGGGGCACCAAACTTGGGGGGGCACCCAGCACCCACTTCAGGGTGCCCCCCCCCGATGTCCCCCCCAGAGTCGGGGACCAAGGAGGACCCGGTGGCCACTGATGTCACCATCCCCCTGGTCCACGTTCCTCCTCCTCATTTCCTTCCCTCCCCATCTCCCTCCACCCACTTTTGGGGGGCACCAAACTTGGGGGGAGCACCAAACTTGGGGGGCACCCAGCACCCACTTCGGGGTGCCCCCCCCCGATGTCCCCCCCAAATTCGGGGACCAAGGAGGACCCGGTGGCCACCGATGTCACTGAGCTCCTGGTCCATGTCCTCACCCCCCACCTCCTTCCATCCTCCCCATGTCCCTCCACCCACTTTTGGGGGGCACCAAACTTGGGGGGGGCACCCAGCACCCACTTTGGGGTGTCGTGTCCCACCCCCCCCAGAGTCGGGGACCAAGGAGGACCCGGTGGCCGCTGATGTCATCAACCCCCTGGCCCAGCGGCAGCGGGAGGAGCTGCGGGAGAAGCTGGCGGCCGCCAAGGAGAAGCGGCTCCTCAACCAGAAACTGGGGTGAGGCACCCGTGGGTGGGGGCGAGGGGACCCCAAAACTTCTCTTTTTTTACCCCAAAAATGCTTTCTAGGAAGGTGAAGAGCCTGGGGGAGGAGGACCCGTGGTTGGACGACGCGGCTGCCTGGATCGAGAGGAGCCGGAAGCTGCAGCAGGAGAAGGAACTGGCCGAGAAAAGGG